GTCCACGCTAGAGCGAGACCGATTCAAGTCACATCCTTCTCTGTCCACCACCAACCAACAGATGTCACCCATCATTCAGTCAGGTCAGTGGGCATTTGTGTGACAGAGCATTGTTCTGAGAGCATGAGCTGATTCAGCCTGGCACTTCAGCACTGCCCATCAACCCGAGAGCCTGCTTTGACAGTCGCACTGTTAACAGCCCCCTTTCTTCCATTTGAAAAGATAATACGGCTTACGTCAGCTGCGGTACATTAAAAAAAAAAAGGCCTGCCCACACCTGGACACTGGCAGCTTCACCAGGTTGGGGACAGGACCCTGGCGTCTGCATTTGACCAGTTGGACCGGTAACCTGATGTAGAGTCCTGGGAGATGGAAGTAACTTAGGACACACTGGCTGACTAGGAATGTCTGTGTTCTCGCCAGCTTTGCATAAGTGTTAAGTCTCCTTGCTGCTGCTGCTGCGGGCAAAGTTTTTGGTTTGTTTTTTCTCCATTTCCTTGGTGAAACGTCTCGGGAACAGGCTCCTTGACCTTGGGTCTTTCTGGCTCTGCAATGACACATGCCCTGGCTGCTTTGCAGACCCCACCCACCCAGCAACACCTCACAGTGTGGCTTTCTAGAAACTCCCATGGAGTTTTAAGCTGCGGTCTTGAGAACTGCGCTGCCCACCCATTTGCAGAGTTTAGCTTAATGGGAAGAATGTTTTGAGTTTCACACTAAATTACATGTAAAGAAACCTTGTGACTGTGAGGTCAAACCAGTGCTGTGAATTTAATTCGTACCTGAATGAAACAGGTAAAATGATGCTTCTTGCTTTGATTCGGCTTTCAATCAAACATTCCCACATATATATTATCTGTTGTCCTCAGCTGTGCTGCCTCTGACAGTTCTATCGCTCACGTGGACAAAAAGAGTAATCTATCCATGCCCAGGGGCTCTAGCTGCATAATTGAATGTCTGTGGTTGTGCTGGGAGTTTCTTGCTTGTTTAGTTTGGTATTTTGTTTTTTGGGTTATTTTTTTTTTAAGACATTACATTTACTGTGTGTGGTAGATATGTCCTGCTTTAAAATTATGAGCTGTTTCATTCAACAAGAACTTTGCAACTTTGCTTGTTTTGGACACCCCTGATAAGCCCTCGTACTGTTCTTTTATTTAAAAAAGTTCAGTGTGTCCGAGGACTGAGGAATAGGGATGTCAGGAAGCCAGACAGGGGACTGCCAGACAAGCAGAGTCACCTCAAACAGATTGGCACACAGCTACTTTGCAATAGATTTGCTACATGGCCCTCTTAAACATACAAGCAGAAGTGCTAGTGGCCCCCACAGTCCCTAGGTGGCCCTCGGGATTCTACTCGGAGGAGAAATGTTTGCCACTCCTGTCCCAGCTGTGTGAGGGCAGATCATTGCCCTTCAGCATGCTGAGGCGTCTGCTTGTGGGCACACCTGCCGCCGTTAGTGCCATCCCAAAGGGAAGCCGGTCTCTCCTGTCTCCATCTCCCCAAATGTGAGCTGGAGGTAGCACAGAGACACGGCTGCGCATGCTCACCTCATCGGACACGGGCAGCCCGGCATGTGAAAAGAACAGCCATGCCAGGCCCCCTGAAGGCATGGCTGTGCCGAGCCACAGGGGCTAAGCTTAGCTGGAGGACCGCCCCTTTCACGTGAATGGGTAAAGACATGGTCACTTATTTGCAATTAGTTTTCTTACAAACCACATTGTTAGTGAGGGGCAGGTGGGACTCACGTGACCTGTTGACCTGTTTCTTCCTTCCTGGCCTAAAGAAACTGTCCAAAAGGGGACCCTTTTGGTAGGTGGCTAGCCATTATCAGATGTGTGGCCTAGCCTAGGATCAGAGAAGTCATCTGGGGTCACATGATCTCCTGACATTAGAGCACCATGAAGAGACTGGACACTTCTAGACACATATAATTTTAACGATCAAAAATTACAACCTGCCATAAATGCTGATAGGAGTTTATAAGCAGCTAAACTGTGATCGTCGAGTAGAACTAACTCTTGTATGGCTCATAAGTTACTCCACTCGGTTTCCAAGGGTGGGTCGCGGCCTGCCGCCCTGTACCCTGGGCCCCTGGCTGGTTTGGGGATGTAGGGTGTGTTCATGGTCCTTGGGGTCTGGCTGCTCTCCACCCTCAGCACGTCTGAGAGCTGATTTGACTGGCACTGCTAATGACCATTTGTTTTCCGGAGCTGACGATGATTTCTCTCTCTTCCCCTCTCCTTCCTCTGCCTCTCCCCTCAGTCGGCAGCACGTCTTCTTCACCAGCACTGTTAGGAATCAGAGAGCCTCGCTCTGAATACGATAGGACCCAGCCACCTATGCAGTATTACAATAGCCAAGGGGACACCACACATAAAGGCCTGTACCCTGGTAAGAAGCCAGTTGGGTGTGTGATGCAATACCTGGGCACTCGGTGTGTGTCCTGGAAAGTGGCCCGTGCTTATAGAGAGACAGACGGTCCCCCAGCAGCAAACCGTACCCTGTCCCTTCTCTGCCACTGTCGGGATTGGTGCCTTTTCTGCTTATTTTAAATAAGTCAAGCCAATGAAGTTATGACAGCCACAAGTGCAAAAGAGAACTGGAGCCAGTGATGACTCCTGGCTGCCTCAGGTGCCATTCTCTCTGCTCCTGTCCCCTCCTGCTCTAGCAAGAGCCCTTTATGCATCAGAACCAAAGGCCTAATGCGTGTAGCTCTCTCTGCAGGAGCTGCATAGACCCTCTGGTCTGGCCCATTTCTAAATAATATCACAGTGTTGGTATGTTTATATCCTGTTCAGAAAGATGTGTATAAAAATAATTTGAAGTTGCCAGCCCAAAAGGTAATTGGTCCAGTCTCAAATATTTAGCAAATTAAAACTACCCCAGAACAAGTCGTGAGCTACTGCAATGCAAAAGGTGCTTTTTCCTCAAAAAGAAAAAAAAACAGGAGGGAGGGGAAATGCCTGCTTATTAAAAAGAAATAAATGAAAGCTGATAGCAGCCTAACTACTGCTGGGGGAGGAGTCTGAGCTGTACTCAGAGTCCTGTGATTTCACAGGACTATTTACTAATCAAGTATTGTTACCATGGCAATTAATAGCTCAGAGAATTACAGATGCTCCATTTCAAACACCAGGCTCTGTGCAGAAGGGAACACACATACAAACTGAAGGCAGGCGGTCTCGGGTCTGCAGCAGCCTGCTTCACTGCAGACACTGCCTCTTGAGCACGCATCCCTTATCTTTGTTTGCTTCAATAAACCTAATTTGCCTGGAGTGTGCTTTATTTTCCTTATTTAAAAAAATTAAAACCTTTCCTAGTTTTAGCAGTAATAGAAAGGCAACTAGTGATGTCATCAGGAGCCTGCTCTGGGCTCTTGAAGATACTTGCCGAATTAACCAAATGCTTTTCCCATTTACTACATACTTAACCATGGCAGACCCGGGACTGTGCCTCTACGTAGCTCGCTGCTTTGGACATGCCTATGCCTGCCCTTTCCAGAACCCAGGGTCTGAATCACAGCTGCTCAGAAGACTCGAGGTGCATTCTAATGATGCATCTCCCATCCCTGTGATTCACACCATGGCTCTGGGCCCTGGAAGAGGGATGGTCCTCAGCTCAGCACAGGGAGCCGTGTACTGCTCAAATCCAACTGCAGAAACCCCCGAGACTGAGCAGAGCTTGAGTCGGCCCCTCTGGATGGGCTCTACATTTACATGCTTCTTGCTGCCACACACACGTGCACACATGCAGCCTGTTTTTGCTGTTGGCCTCCCAGATCCAGAATGTACTGTTCAAATCAGGGAGCCTGGGCTACTGCCCTTCTGCCTATGCTGGCACTAGGGAAGGCAGCACCATCACAAGCTGGTGGACCGTTATAATAAACGTTAGTTTTAATTTAATGAACTATTTTCTTACAGGCTCCAGCAAACCTTCACCAATATACATCAGTTCCTATTCCTCACCAGCAAGAGAACAAAATAGACGGCTACAGGTGAATTTGCATTGTCATTTGTACAGAAGGCCGGTTAGCAGTCACACAGTAAGGGGACCACCTGTGAGAGCTGGGCCTTGATGCAGGGTCAAAGGAGCATCCCCTGGGGAAATTCGCTTCGCAGACCTGCACGTGGTTCAGATAAATTGTTTCCATCAGTGCCTCTGAGACTGCTCGCCTCTGACAGGGATGCGAGAAACCTCTGGTGCATGCTCTTGTCAGTTTCCCTCTCTGACTTTTTCCATTAACCTAGAGTCTCTTCCATCCTTTGGGTGAGGCCAAGTTGGTGAGCAAACCTCGCCAGCCTCATCGTTCTCTTTGGACACTTTGTCCTCTATTATCATGACTTCCTCCTCATCCAAGCTCCATGGTTTAAAAACCCTGCGTCTGCAGCCCACTTATGAGGGGCTTCCCGAGCTATATCCCCAGGGACTGTACTGCCACACGCACCCCTTTCAGCCACAAAACTAGGGTTTCCCAGTCAGAACGGCATTGTGTCCTTCCAAAGAAGAGTGGTCTGAGACTTCTATCTACACCATAACCTTTTTTATTTAGATAGGAAAAGAAGAATTTCCCTCATTACTCATAATGTATGCTCTAGCTTTTGCAGTTTGGTTTTGTGGTTGGGTCTTACTGTTGTTCCTGCTGATCTCAAACATCTGAGCTAAGTCAACCATCCATTATCAGCCTCAGGAGCAGCCAGGATCTCAAGCCACCGCACCCAGCCTATGCTGTTTCTTTTTAAGTCCAGAAAAGAGGAGATAGTTAGCCAAGTATACTTTGTAACTCTGAAATATGGTGAAGTTAGACTGAGTTTAAAGTCAGATGCCAATACCTCTACGGTAAATTCTTCAGTCTTACCGAGTTGGGGGGTGGGGCGAATTTGGACAGCATGAAGACAGACATAAGAGCTGTGATAATTTGATGGCATCACAGTGAGGTCATAGCGAAGACAGCACAGAAGGAAATGGGGACCAGGTTCCCTGTGTGGATGATAACATGTAGCACTTGTTTCTTCGGAGGATCTTAGTGAAGTCCTTGCCTCCACAATGCTGTTTGCTCGGGCGTCTGCTAACGTTCTCTTCCTGTCTGCGATTGCTCGTTGTCTAATAGTACACTGTAAAGCAGAGTTTATCACACTATGTACCATCTTTTAAAATGGAGTGGTGGACTCACATACAGTCGTATAATTATAGTCATCTGAATATCTAAAACCAAATCCCGGCCCTCGTATGTCCATGATATGCTTAACTTTCCTGTGCTAAAGCTGCCTGCTCTTTTGATCTCTATCTGACAGGCACCTCCCACTGAGGGCCTAAGCTCCTCTGAGGCCTCAGGGAAGGACTTGAGCAAACAAAGCCAGCTTGCCTATAAACATAATTTAAAATCCTCCCTGCTGTGAGTAAGCATGCTGTGCACCTGAAACAGCTTTCCCCCTTTAGCCCACAAAGAACCTACACGTGAAACGGGAAGCCCACATCCGTGTTCTTTCAATGTGTTTGCAATGCTCCCGCTCACTGGCCTTTCTGTTTTGCCAGCAGCACCAACAGCTGTACTATCAGGATGACTCCACCCGAAAGACCTTGGATGCCTACAGGTTGTACTTGCAGTCTCCTCGTAGCTATGAAGACCCTTATTTTGATGACCGAGTTCACTTTCCGTCTTCTACTGATTACTCAACACAGTATGGACTGAAATCAACCACAAATTACGTAGACTTTTATTCCACTAAACGACCTTCTTACAGAGCTGAACAGTACCCAGGGTCCCCGGACTCGTGGGTGTAGCATTGAGACGCCTGGCGAGGAACTCTCTCTTGCTAACTTTACTTGGATTGAGGTGAAAAGTCCGTCTTGCTGATTTGATGATGAAATGTGAACGTGAAATGGAAGGAATGAGTGAAGAGTTTTTTTCTTTTTTGAGGAATTTTCAGGGAAGTGAGGAAACCCTTGGGAGAGGACTTTCTAAGCTCTGTGTAGGTGTTAGGTCTAATTCCTTGTAGATTCTATGGTGAAGGTATGGGTGATGTGATGAATGGGTTGAGAAATGGCTGAAATGAGATGGGTTATGTGTAGGTCAAATCAAATTACAGATGATTTTTTTAATGTGAATAAAGTTATGTTCAGATAGTTTGTACAGAAAAAAAAATAAAATGGATGCCCTTCATGTTTTATTGCTATTACTAAATGTCAAGATTGTATGCTATTATGTCTTGTAAAAATTTATTCTGTTGGTGTAAATATGGAAATGCCACATTGGTTAAGTGCCATCATTTGTAATGCAGTGTGCCGTTTGAAAAGAGATTTGGAGAACTGACAGCCTAAAACACAAGTGGGAAGCCCAAGGAACTGTTAACAGTTGACAGCAAACTCTGACATCCTGTTTTCAGTGAGTAGTGACCCCGGAAGCACAAAGCTCAGTGTGACAGCCGCGCCATGCTCATCCGCCTCTTTCACAGGACACCTCACTGCCATTTTCTATGCACATGGAAGAATAATAAACGTGGAAATTTCATCCTTGAAAGTGTGTTCTGGTCCCCTTTTCTGGGTGTGATATGGAAAATAGATTAAGTCCTTTGTGAGATTGGCCACACTGGACAATGAAGATCCTTAGTCTATGTATTTCTTGGAGTTTTTGTTTGTTTGAATTTGATACTCTCCAGTTTTAGTGGTTTCTGCTTTGTTCCAGCCTTCTAGATGTATTTAACATCTCTTTTCACCTAAAGGAAATTACATCTGGCATCCTGGCCATACTACATTGGCAAGGACCACTTACAGCATCATTTTTTTAGAGCTAAGTCATTACATATGGACAGTTGGGCATTTGCTTGCTTGGCATCAATGTTAGAAGCCAGCACTGATTCTAAATAATTATTGTGCTCAGTACTTGTTGGACTATAGACAGCCTTTGGGGGGCGGCCCCCACAGATATTGTAGACATATCCCAATGCTACTCTGAAGCATGCAGCATTGTGACTATAGAGAGACCCATGAAACAGTACTTTCCTGAGCTGAAAACAGCCCCATGTTAGGATTCAAAGTAAAACAGGTCCAGAGTAGACAGGAAAGTAGCTGAATCCTACAAATGGTGAGCCTTTCTGAGCTCACCACCTAAGATGACTGACAGGGCCATGCTCTCTGCCACATGGACAGAGGAAACATCCTTCTATGTGACAAGTCACTGGATGTTCCCGAGGAACTGACACAGACTTTTGGACTTCACACCTGTTTGATCTCATGTTCCTGAACCTGGTTCCTTGGTATCTGGGTTTAAGTAAAGGCTGTTTGCTAAGAGGCAGAAAACCTGGGGCCTCCTGAGCTAACAGACAGGAACTGTTTCTTTTAGTGACTATTTTGGCAGCGCTTATTGCAACTAATGCAGACCACAGTTGGGAAGAACTCATTTGAGCCTCCTGCGAAACCTGATGTAGCCAGAAAGAGGCCATGGTGAGAAGAGCAGAAGATCTGAGGCCTTTAATCTCCTAACTTGTGACTGGAGAAAAGAAATTGCAGACAGAATTGCATCATTGATCATAAAGATAAGCTCACCCCCTCCAGTAGTGAGAACAAACACGACCTGCTAAAACTGTTCAGTCATGGTTGCTATCCTTATAGTACCAAAAATCCTCAGCCCACAGCAAGAAGTGTGTGGTCTGCAGAGCCTGGGTCAGCTGAGAATAAGCCCTGAACAGAGCCAAGGTCAGAAAGCTAGACCAAGGCTGACTCCACCTTGAAGACATCTGAACAACTTCCACTAGGTGAGGTTCCAGCCAACCACGACCAACAGAACACATGGTATGGACCAAGCCTCAGTCCTTCCTGCCGAAGAGCTCCCTCACTAAGTGTGCAGTGCAGACATGTGCAGACCTCTGGTTTCCTGAATACCATCCAGCCTTCCCAGCCAAAGCATTTAGACTTCGATGTCAGGATATGGGATTTGCCATGGAGAGGGGAGTAAGGGTGGAGTATTGTCAGAGAACACTATCTTAAACTTAGAAAGCCTTGAGACTTTTTTTTCTGCTAGAGAGAGAGAGAGAGAGAGAGAGAGAGAGAGAGAGAGAGAGAGAGAGAGAGAGTGTTTAGCCTACATGCATGTATGTGTGCCACATATGTGCCTAATTCCCACATAGGTGAGGAGAAGGTATTAGATGCCATGGAACTAGAGTTACAGGTGGCTGGAAGCCATGTGGATGCTAGGAACAGAATCCAGGTCCTTTGCAAGAGCAACAAGTGCTTTTTTAACTGCTGGGCTATGCCTGTAGCCCCCTATGCCCATGGCCATTTGTTTACGGTTACATCCTTTGAAGATCATGAGCTCCTCCAATGATTTCCATTGGAAATCATGACCACATAGCACTCCCATCATTAATCCCTGAACAACGTTTGTCTACTTTACTGCTAATTCTTGTACAGAAATACTGTTTTTGAGTCCTCCTATGGACTAATGCTTACACATACATAGTCAGTTCACCCTCACAGCCAATGTATGATATTCCATTTTATAAACCCTGAAACAAACTAAATTCCTAAAGGTCACAGCCAGTTAGTGACCAAGGCAGGGTAACTTTGTGGTCTAAACTGAATGCTGGTGACAAATTCAGTCACTTGAGTTCCAACTACTTACGGTCAATAAGACATTGTTCATCACTAACCTCAAATTTACCAAAGGGAACTATTAAAAGTTAAAAGCAACCATGAATTAAATATTTAAGGCATGAAAGATAGTTCAGCATATAAAATGCTTACTAGGCAAATTGGCAATCTGAGTTCAGTCCTACATGGAGGTAGGAGAGAATTTCTGACTGCCACATGCATGCCATGACACATGTGATTACACACATACAGTTAACACAATAACATTTAAATATTTTAAATAGCTACTAAAAAAAATGTGCCCAAATCTATCTTGTCCACCACAATGTCACATAAGCCTCACTGGGAAGCGTGAATCACAATCACTCCTCTGAGCCATGTCTATCAACAAAGGCATCTGTCCCCATGTGATCCTAGCAACGTGAGGCCTCAGTAATACCTTTAAGTCAACACTCTTGCCAATCCCTCAGATTGTGGCTTTGTTTCCATAATGAAGCTGGACTACAGAGAAAAACATTTGAAAGCTTGGCCATTACTATTCATTCATTCCCTTTATTCTGAGTACTACTGTTTATAGTAACATTCCTAATAGCCAAAAACTGGAGGCAACACAACTATCCTCCAGCAGAATAGATAAACAAAAATTTTATCCAAGAATGGGAAAAATTGCAACATGTGTTTGTATCTTAAAATATTAGTCGACAATAAACAATGAGCTGCAAATATGACCTGGACAAATACCAAGAAATATGTTGTTCAAAATAAGGAAGAGGTTGGCAGAGTGTACATGCGGAATGATTCTCATGCAACAACAGAGAGACTCCCTTAAGGTAGTAGCAGTGAGGACCACATTGTCCACAGAGGGGGGGCATGAGCAAGAACTATTTGGGATGATGGAAATGTCTTCTGTCGTGATTGGAATGACAGTGACACAGGTGCGTACATGCAGCAAGACTTCAAAATATACACATCAGATCGACATTTCACTGTATTAAATTATATCAATAATCACCCCGGAAGAACCTCAAATGGGCTGGGCATTGGTGGTGCACGCCTTTAATCCCAGCACTTGGGAGGCAGAGGCAGGGGAGAGTTTGACGCCAGCCTGGTCTACAGAGCGAGTTCCAGGACAACCTCCAAAGCCATACAGAGAAACCCTGTCTCAAAAAGCCAAAAAAAAAGAAAGAAGAACTTCAATGGAAAAGGGAGAGGAGTTGGGAGAAGGATCTGCAGAAGTAGAAGGGACAACAGAGAATAATGAAAAGTGAATATATCAAAATGTGTACATGTATGAAAATGTTATAGTGAAACCTGTTATGTATAATTAATATATGCTAATAAAGCTACCCCAATACATTGACAATAGTCAATAAAGAAATAACATAGCCTGAGACATAGTTTAATGACCTAACATAGTTATTTCTGAGTTAAGAAAAATGCAATTTATTACAAACCTTAACAAAATAGTCACTTAGTTTCTCATGCAAAGGTTCTAGGAAAAGAATCCCTTTGTAGTTATGTACAC